ACACACACACACACACACACCACACACAGCAGTCAATACAGTGCCCTTTAGAGTCTGCATCTGACATTTTTAAATTATTTCAAAATACCCAAGGGCTCTCCTCTGAAAATGCGTACATGAAGTACTCAAGGAAAGTGATTCTCAGCATTCACAGTTGGGGGCTTTTTCTGGAGATGTGCTGTCACTCTGGGTCTCAGAGACATGGACAGTTTCCATGGGCAGCCTCAAGTTAACCTCAGAATAAGACTATTGGGAAAAAAACAGAGAACGAGGGTAAGAATCTCCCCACAGCACGAGAATAAATAACAAGAGAATAAAAGAAAGGCAAACGGTTAAGACCCTGAGCCTGTATTGAATCTTCATCATATTTAAAGCAAGAATGTAAGCACTAAAAACCTAAATAAAAAGTAAAGGTCAAGCTACAAGAGATCTTGAAGAGTAGAGTAGAGTTGCTTATCACCCAAAGACATGGCCTGCTTCCAGCAGAGGGTGACCTCACAACTCTGTCAAATCCAGGCCAGCTGCCTTGTCTAGGCCTCAGGGAGGGTGGGCAGAGAAAGCCCCCTGCCCTTGGCATTGGGTATGGTCATATAACTTGGTTTGCCCACTAGGATGGGAGCAGACATGATGCAACATAGACTTAAAATGCCCTTGTACTGTTGGACTTGCTCTCTCAAAACTGTCTTCACTGTGAACAGAGCATACCCTGGCAGCCCACCGTTCCCGGAAAGATGAAAGTCACGTGGCATCTAGGCTGGCCTAAAAGAGAGCCCTCCACAGTTGAGCTGCATTCACATCAGGATTCAGCCAATGACCCACAGAGCCTCCAGCCAAGTCTAGCATGGACCAGTCAACTCTAGCCAACATGTGACCCAAAAACTCAAACCCAGTGCCATCAAGTTGATTCCAACTCATAGTGATCCCATAGGATGGGTTTCCAAGACTGTGATCCTGACTACAGCCTCCTTCTTTCTCCTACAGAGCAGCTGGTGGGTTTGAACCTCCAACCTTGAGGTTAGCAGCCCAATGTTTATCCCACATCAACATCAGGGCTCCTCAGCCAAGCCTTGAACACATGAAAAAATAAATTGATGTCTAACTTGCTGAGTTTTGGAGTCCTTTGATGGCAAACTAATACAAAAAAATATGTAGTATAACATCTTAATTTATTTCCTCTTCAGGGCTACATAGCAAACCAAGTAGTAGGTTGAACAACTTGGCCAGACTATAGTTTTCCTGGACAGGACTTTCCCAGAGAGAACACAAGTCTCTTTTGAAAATGAGCAGGGAAGAAAGGTGTCACATGTCCTGTGGACCATGGGCCTGTGGGCTGTCCATTAGGAATACAACAGAACTTCACTCACCTAAGGAGTCCTCATAGACCCAGAAGTCTGGGAATGGGTCAGTAATCCTCGCCCACCCAAGCAGATGCTATATGAGAACAGACAAATATGATGTAATCACCCCACGATGTCAACTGAGGTGATCAGCCCTGATCTGATGTAGTTAGGTTATGTCTTCCAAATCCTCATTTCTGTGATGTTAATGAAGCCAAATGCAAGCTACAGGATTATATCCTATCTTGAGTCAATCTCTTTTGAGTTATAAAAGGAGAGAGAAGTGAGTAGGGGTCAGAGGGAGTTACTACCACCAGGAAAAAGGAGCTAGGACTAGAGTTAGTCCTTTGGACCTGGGGTCCCTGCGCTGGGAATCTCCTAGATCCAGTGGAATATTGGTGTCAAGATATATGGAGATCTCCAAGGAAGGCTGGGCCTGCAGATGCCAAAGGAGACCAGGACTTTTCTTCAATGCCAGCACTTGGAATTTGGACTTCTCTCCTCCCAAACTGTGAGAAAAGAAATGTCTGCTCCTTAGCCATCCTTTTGGATCTCTCAGCAGAAACCATGCAAGCAAGAAGGCAATGGGGAGACATATATAAAATCCTGAAAGAAAGAATTGCCAACCAAGAATCCTTTATCCAGCAAAGCTGTCAATCAAATACGAAGGTGTAATCAAAACATTCCAGGATAAACAGAAGCTAAGGGATTTTGCCAAAGCCAACCCTGCACTGCAAAAGCTGTCCTCTGTGGCATTTCTGTGACAATAGCAGGAAAGAACTAGGACAACCCATTTTTACTTTTCAAGAAGGCCTTGGTGGCATCAACAGTTAAGAACTCAAGTACTCACTGAAAGCTTGGTGATTTGAGTGAACCTAGAGGTTTCTTGGGTGTAGTGGTTACAAATCGGGCTGCTAATTTCACAGTCAGCAGTTTGAAACTAGAAGTTATTCCGTGGGAGAAAGATGAGGCTTTCTGCTCCCGTAAAGATCTACAGCCTTGGAAACCCTGTACAGGGTCGCTGTGAGTTGGAACTGAATCCATTGCACATAACAACAACAACAGCGGTTTCTTGGAAGGAAGGCTTTCTTAGTTAGGTCACAATCTTAGACTGCTTCTACTCTGTCCACATGGCACACGTATTGTATCAGCAAATCTGCTGCACAAGACCTCTTTAAAGTGTTCAAGAGCAAAGATGTCAGCTTGAGGACTAAGGTGCACCTGACCCAAGCCATGGTATTTTCAATAATCTCATATGCATGCGAAAGTTGGGCAATGAATAAGGAAGACTGCAGAAGAATTGATGCATTTGAGTTTTGGAGGACTGCCCAAAGAACACACAAATCTCTGTTAGAAGAAGTACAGCCAGAGTGCTCCTTAGAAGTCAGGATGGCCAGACTTCATCTCTCATACTTCAGACATAGTATCAGGAGGGACCAGTCCCTGGAGAAGAACACTATGCTTGGTGAAGTGAAGGGTCAGTGAAAATAAGAGGAAGATCCACAACGAGATGGATGGGCCCAGTGGCAGCAGTGATGGGTTCAGGTGTAGCAATCATTGTGAGAATGGTGCAGAACCAGGTGCTGCTTCATTCTATTGTGCAGAGGGTCGCTATGAGTTGGTATGGACTTGACAGCACCTAACAACAACACGTGGTCTCACCAAGGTTCAGAATTGACGTAACGGCAACTTGTTTGGGTTTTGCTAGTTGGTTTATTCTCCAATGTGCTCTGGGTGATAATGAGCTTACATTATAAGATCATCCTACTGACAGCACACTTTGCCTATAGAGCTTAGCCAACCAGACTCAGATAAAGTTTAGATAAATCCATAGGGAAACACCTGACATGGGCTTCCTGGACTAATCTGTCTTGTCTAGGTTCTGTTTGGAGGCCCCGGTGATGCTAACCCATCTGAAGGAGCCTTGGAAGAAAGGTCTGACTATCTGCGCTCATAAAAATGACAGCCTCTGGGGTGCTCTCTGTCCTGTAGGGTCGCTGTGAGGCAGAATGGACTCACCGGTGCCCAAGAACAACAATCATAACACATTCTGGTTGAAGTCCCTGGGTAGTGCAAGAATGAACAGGTTTGTCTTCTAACCAGAAGGTCGGGAGTTCAAGTCCACCTCAGAAAAAAAAGGCCTAGTGGTCTATTTCTGAAAAATCGGCCACTGAAAATCCTGTGGAGCACAGGTCTGTGCTGACACACGTGGCACACACACGTGGCACCCTGAGTGGAATTTATGTATGAAAAATCGGCCACTGAAAACCCTGTGGAGCTCAGTTCTACTCTAACACACACGAGGACACCAGGAGTGGAATCTGCTTGTGGAAAATCATCCACTAACAAGCCTGTGGAGCTCAGTTCTACTCTGACACACACGAGGACACCAAGAGTGGAATCTGCTTGTGGAAAATCATCCACTAACAAGCCTGTGGAGCTCAGTTCTCCTCTGACACACATGGGGGCGCCATGAGTCAGAATCTACTTGACAGTAATTGGTCCACTCTGAAGGCTTGAAGGGCCACCCTACACCATTGCAGCCAGCCCTTGGCTACAGTGGTGAGAGGTGGAAGAGATGGAGTTGAGATAGGCCCTGACTGTGAGGACCAAGCTATCTTCTAGGCTAGCACAATGCCCTCTTGATTGGACAGACTTGGGCCTTTCTCTGAGAATCCCCTCTGCACAGGACACCTTCATTGTGGTTCCTCCCCAAAATAGAAACACAGGCAGCATTCGTACTCTTGTAATTACTTTCAGACCAACTCAACTCGCAGACATGGAAATCCACAGCCGGAGAAAGGCGTTTCCTCTTACCCACTCAGAGGTCCGTATCGCTTTCTGAGCTCCAGTTGGCTTTCCCAAAATCCCTGCAGAAAAGACAGCACTGGAGTCAGGAGAAGGAGGAAGCAAAGCTTCAATGATTCCAAAGTACTCAGAGAAAAGTCTGGAACAGTATGAACACAATGACACAAAAATAATAAAAGAAAGAATTGACGTTCTATTGCTTCCAAGTAGTTTGAAGTATTAGAATAAACGAATAGCTTTTTAAAAACATTGCCAAGAAAAACAAAACAAAACATTGCCAAGTAAAAGTCTTGGCCCGTTCTGCTTTAATGGACAGGCAAGATCTCTGTACTTAAACTGTTCGTGTATCATGACTGTGGAAATATTTGAAAACAGTTTGCTTTCTTAACTATGTCAACATTTCCCTCAGCAATTTGGTTTATATTCTTATTTTTTTTGGCAAAGCCTCTTTTCCCAGCCACTATATGTGCAAACTTCTACTGAGTCTATCCAAATTATTAGGAATGCTGAATTATCATCATCCAATTTAAATTTTAACTAATATAAAAATATTCAAAACGTAAGAAGTTTAGAGTAACTTTATACAGGACAAAGTGCTAAACACAGCAGTCAGAAAGGACTCTTTCTGAAGACATTCATAGTACAGGTGTTAGGGGGAAGGTCCTAAAATTCTTGACCCATTGTGTTGTGGGGGTGAAGTATGTGTGCAGATGTACATGGGGGATCATACGGGTGGAGAGTTGGAAAATGGTAGGCCTACTGTCCTGTATGGTTACAGTATACTGCAGGTATGTGTGGGTGGGGTGGGAATGGAATGTTGGAAAATAGTAGACCCACTGTGTTGTGGAGATGGAGTTGTATTGTGAGGGGGAAGTATGTGTGCAGAAATTCATAGGGGCTGTATGGGTGGAGAGTTAGAAAAAGGTAGACCCATTGTATGGCAGGCATGGAGCATCCTTACAAATATGCCTGGGTTGGGATGGGGGTTGGAGGGTTGGAAATGCTAAACTCTTATTTATGAGACTGGAATATCTGTGCAGCTATAAAAAGGGGTGATGAGGGTGGAGAATTGAGGATGATAGAAGGAATTGTTCAGAGTAGAAACATACCCCATTGTCGTCAAATCAACTGAATTTCACAATGTAAGCATGCCATAGAGCAAGGACAGAGTCTATGGGTGTAAAGATAGTCATTGAGATGTTGGTGTTCCAGAAAGATCTTGTCAGGGTTTGTGCACACAGAATGATCAGCCGAGATTATGCAGCGGCAGGGCATAAGCGGCAGGGTTCCCCTCACATTGCTATTGTACCAAACCTACTTCCATGGAGCCAGTTCCGACTCACAGTGACCCTATAGAGGGATTTCTAAGAAGGAAAATCTTTATGGGAACAACCAGCCTCATCTTTCTCCTTCAAAGAAACTGGTGGATTTGAACCACTGACTTTATGGTTAGTGGTCCAATACCTAACCCACAGTGTCACCAGGCCTCCTTAATACTTGTACCTTATTAATGACTCCCCTGGACACAACTGTTCACTTCCCCACAGAACTATGTGATGCGCTTTCTCTTTCATTTCCTGTCTGCTGTGTTGTTCTACTTTGACACTTTTGGATCTTGTGGAAGGCCTGATGAGCTGTTGTTTTAACTGACCTACTGAGAGCAAGATGAGAGGAGAAGGTGCTGGAATGCCAGGGGAAGAAAAGAGCAGCGATAATCAAGAATGGAAATGGATGGGCAGAGAAAGGGACAAAAAATAGTCCAGGAGAAGGGACTTGTCTTTGGTGTCAGGGCCAGCCTTTCTAGACCAGGGGGACATCCTGAAGAGACTGTGAAGGGGTATCATCAGGATGGGTCAAGTTTAGGCCTTCCACCTTCTTTTGTTTGGTGGTTTGTCATAGGTAAGGTCTGTTGGCTCCTGAGATTGGATCTGGTGGCAGTGTCTCTGTGAATAAGCAGAATAAACCAGTTGGATCCCAAGAAAAACGAATGAGAGAAAAATCACTATGGATGTCAGAGCCCTGGGTCTGTGTCTACAGACGCCCATGGGATGCTTCCAATTGCCTGTCACCCTGCCAACTCAAGACAACATACATGAAATTAAATACATCTTCTCTTTAAACCAAGGAGTCCTGGTGGTGCTGTGGATTAGGTGTTGGGCTTCTAACCACAGATTGGAAGTTCAAATCCACCAGGCACTCTGTGAGAGAATGAGGCTGCTTCTGTAAAGATTTACAGACACCCAATATAGGCTTCCTGTGAGTCACAATCAAGTCAGTGGCAATGAGTGAGCTTGGGGCTGGTCTTTCTGGAGGGCCTGTGTGGTGCCAATGGTTTGCATTAAACTACTAACCAAATGTTTGGCTGTTTGAACCCATCCAGCAGTATCATGAAAGAAAGACCTGGCTACCCACTTCTGTAAAGATTGTGGCCAAGAGAACCTGATGGGACAGTTGTGCTCTGTAACACCTGGGGGAACTCCACCACAACGATATTGCGGTTGTTTTTTCTGTTTGTCTTTCTAAACGGCCAGTAATCTAGTCCTATGCTGTTTTTCACGAGCTGGTTCTCCTCTGTTCCTGAACCTTCATCTTTCTGATGGGTCAGGCTGCTTGTGGGCTTCAGCCTCATTCTCGTGTTGGTATGCTCACCCCATTGTGACTCCCCACCTGCTGTGTGTGTGTGCTGGTCTCTGTGTCTGCCCACCCAACGAGGACCCATTTCAGTAAGTCCTCCATGGTGATTCTGGCCTTGTGCACCTCCTTCTCCTCCAAAGGATGCCCACAGTTACCACCTGTGCCACCCAATCTAGCACAAGATATATTCATGTGGTAGTGAGCACTCTTATTTGTCCTTGTTTTCCCAATTAGGTTGTAAGCTCTTTGAGGGAATAACGACCTTCACCTCTTCTGTATTTCCTCTTTGGCTTGACACATTTAGATATTTAGTAAAAGGAACTAGATGGGTGGATGAATGGATAAATGGGTGGATGGATAGATGGATGGATGGTGAGTGGATGGATGGATATATGGATAAGTAGATGGATGGTGGATGGATTGATGGTGAATGAATGAATGGGTAGATACGTGGATGGATGGATGGATGGATGGATGGTGGATGATGGATGGATGGATAGATGGTTGGATGGTGAGTGGATGGATGGATAGATGGGTAAGTAGATGGATCGTGGATGGATGTTGAATGGGGATGGATGGATGATAGATGAGTAGATGATGGATGATGGATTGATGGTGAATGAATGGATGTGTAGATAGGTGGATGGATGGATGGTGGATAGATGTTGGATGGTGAGTGGATGGATGGATAGATGGATCCATCCATATGAATAGATGGATGCCAGAATGAGAGATAAGAGATGGATGATTGTTATCATCTAAGGATTCATCCCAGTAGAGGGCTTCCTCACAAAGCACCTTCACACAAAGCACACTCTCAGCATGTCTTAAGTGGGAGTAATAGTTCTTCACAGGTAAAACCTGCACTGGGCTGAGCATATTTTTTAGCCAGCCCAAGTCTAGACCACCAAGGGCATGGAAGATAACCCTTACCTGACGGAAAAACATCAAGTTTCCAATAAAAGGAAAAGGCTTGGGATGTCTGATGCCCAACTTCTCCAGCCGTGAAAATGCTGATGTGGAGTACCTAAGGGGAAAACAAAGTTAAAAACCAAGATATTGGCATTTGCATTTATGCTTTTGATTTTATAGAAGCCAGATTTATTGTCTTCTCTAAAAAGTAAGGGTGGGTGGAGTCCCTGAGTGATGCAAATGGCTAATGCACTCAGTTGCTCACCAAAAGGTTGGCAGTTTGTGTCTGCCTAGAGGCACCTCAGAAGGAAGGCCTGGTGCTCTATGTCTGAAAACTCAGCCTTTGAGAACCCTGAGGGGCACAGTTTCCCTCTGACACACATGAGGTTGCCATGAATTGGAGTCAACTTGACAGCAGTTTGTTTTTGTTTGCTTGTTTTTAAGGGATGAAAAAAAGAAGTAGAGGTGGGCAAGTGAATAGGAACTCAGTAAATTCATTTTCACGAACAGATCAAGGAGACCTAGGACCTCAGAGTCCCCATCTGGGTCACCAACCCCAAGACATGTCAATGTGTGAAGGCACTCTATGATGAATCCCCACTACTTGGTCTAATTCTTGTGATGACAATGATCCATCTGTTATCTTTCAGCCTATCAACTATCCACCATCCACTCACTCATCCATCCATCTATTCCATCCATCCACCCACCCATTCATTCACCTGCCCATCTATCCATACATCTATCCCTCCAGCCATCATCCATCTGCCCACCCACTCATCTATCCATCCATCTACCTGTGCATCTACCCATTCTACTCCATCTATCCATCAGACAGACATCCATCCATTCACACACAACCTATACCTTAGATATGAACTAGTCCAACTCCTGCCCCCCAACATAAAATTCCTTTCAGTCAACTGTTTTTAACAATGCACCTCTCACCAGTTCCGTTATCTTGCCTCTAAGTCCATCAGGAATGGTTGGCTCATAGACAAGGCAAACAAACTCTGAATGGTGGAAGATAACAACCCTGGGCAAATCTCTGTGTGTTCTTGGTCAGCACTGACCCTTACACGTCATTTGTCTCTCATCACATTCCGTGGCCAAATAGGGCAAAATGGAGAGAACACACTACGGAGATGCTGCCCTATCACCAGACACTTGCAATCCTTTAAGTCTTTGATTTCATGGCCTGCAGCCATATGGGAAACATATTTTCTTGCCCAAAAGTCAGGAAATGTGGTCTGACACATCTCTGTACCACTTTCCGGGAGAAAGCAACCGTCTGCGAAATACAGGGTGGCTGTCAACACATTGGAAGTACTAGAATATTTCAACAGCTCATGAGAACAGGGATAACGCAGTGAAAGTCAGAACTGGCTCCGAAATTCCTGGCCATATGGCGGCCATCTTCAGTCACCCAACCAACTGGGTCAAAAGTTCAGTTCATTCAACAAAATGAATGAGTCAAACTGGTTGTTTAGCATCACACTGAGATCAGCCAAGTCTCAATTTTGGGACAAGGAGAAATATAGAGACTATTACTAGAGTCTAGACTTATTGCCCCAGAAACGCTACACAGGGTTCCTGTGAGTTGGAAGACAACAACACACAACAACAGCAGCTAGAGTCTAAGGAGCCCTCATGGCACCATGGGTTAAGCATTGGGCTGCTAACCTCAAGGTAGACGGACTGCTCAAACCCACCAGCTGCATCCCTGGAGAAAGATGAGGTCTTTGGCTTTGGTAAAGATTTACCACCTCAGAAACCCCAGGGGCAGTTCTACTCTGTCCTAAGAGATTGCCAGATCCACGTGACAGCAGGGGCTGGGTTACTAAAGCCTGACTTCCTAAGACGACTGAACTCAAAACCAAAAAACAAAAACCATGCTAGGAGACTAGTCTAGTATTCCAGTCAAAAGATGGGATGTTGGCTATATTCTATGATCTTTGCCTTTCCCCACCCGCAGCCCAATAAAAAAACATTGAAAATAAAACATTACAACAAATACGCAAACGTTTAGGGAAAGGCCAACCCAGCTTAAGTGTTGTTTTTGGATTCTTACGAGCCGTGGGTCTATTTGTAAAGTGCCCACAGGGGAGAACCAAGCCAGGACAGAAAGGGAAGCCAGGGCCTCCGGCCAGCTCTCCTGGTTGAGGTTTCGACTGTATGGCTGCAGCCCAGGAGTTGCACAAATGCCCAGCACATCCTTTAAGTGTGTTATTGTCTATTCCGACCCATAGTGACCCTGTATACAGTTTCTGAGGCTGTAAGTCTAGACTCCGGTAACAATCTCTATATATTTCTCCTTGTCCCCAAATTGAGACTTGGCTGCTCTCTGCATGATGCTAAACACCCTCAACCACACTCAGAAACACGTGTGAATGACGTGGATTGGTCATCATCACAGTCCTCCTCATTGGTGGGCAGAACAAAGGTTGGCAATGCAGTTTGTGAAAGTTATTCTTTGAAGTAGATGATGATACTTTAACCAATCCTCTTGACGCTAAAAGGATAGAGCCAGAGATGTATCAGCCATATAACACTCCGCATTTCTGGCTTCTATGTTCATCCATTTTTGTGAATTATTTTCTAACTGTAATCTCTAACCAGTGGGAGAACTCCACAGATCTTGGGCCACGTAATTACATCTTAATTTTGTCATTAGCTGTCTTGATTGTCTAATTAACGGACAAGGAGTCTGTGTCTCATCACACATGTTACTCATTATGCAAGTCCATGTCCTAATTATGTAAGTCCACTTACAGCTCTACTGCTTGTGTGTCTCGGCACACAATTCAGACATTTTCAAGCAGATGGCACCCGTGGGGAGTGTCCTCAACAACCAGGAACTTTTACTTCACAGCTGGACTCGAGTACAGCAAAGTCAGGCGTCCTCAGAAGTGAGTTGGTCAAATGTTGTCCTCAGCAACCAGAGTCACCTCACTCACATCGGCAGGACATGGTGACCACCACCAGACCCCGGGTGCAAAAGGGAAATGTGGGTGCCATTTGTCTCACTCCTACTTCCTGGTGTCAGGGTCCCTGTGCTACCTTCGGTCTGTTTCAGCATGGTCTTTGCCCCAATTCCATGGACTCCCAGGGATACCCATGAATGAATGTGCGTTGTTGCTGTTTGTGTACTTTCGAGTTGTTTCCAACTCATAGCGACCCCGTGTGAAGAGTACAACTGTCCCATAGAGTTCCCTAAGCTGAAATCTCTCAGAAACAGAACACTAGACTTTTATCCCATAGAGCCACGGATGGGTCCAAGACCTTTCTGTTAGCAGCTGAGCGCTTTAACTATTGCATCACCAAGATCCTTGTATGAGTGCTTGTCGTTGTTGTTAAGTGCCGTCAAGTTGGTTCTGACCCATAGCGACCATGTATAGGGTTTCCAAGGAGCAGCTGGTGAGTTTCGAACTGTCTATCTTGAGATTAGCCGCTCGACGTGTAACTACTATGCTATCAGAGCTCCTTTTGAACCAGCTTGAATCCATGAAAAATGAATTTTAAAATATCCTTCCTGTCACTTTAAACATTGTCATTGTGAAAGAAATTTTCCTTTTTATGTCTGATTCTGTCATTCAGTCCTGTGTCGTTCCAAACCAGTGCAGGTGGCCTGGGATGAGACTGTGCAGAGCAGGTGATATGCAATCATCACACCATCCTCACCGTCTTGTGGTGTTTAGAACAGCTTCCCTTTGATGGGAATTAATGCAAATGTACCCTGCAATTATGACTCTGGACATCTGTCATTGTTTACTTTAAGGAGACTTAAGTTGGAAATGACAACAAAAAGGAAGTACAGGAAGCTCGCGGGAGCAGCCTTGGGCTTTGCCTTCATAAAGACAAGATTCGTTCACATCAACAGGACACAAAACCACGGTGCCACACATAGCTCCCTTCTCAAAGTCAGTGGGATAGTGTGGGTCTTTCCCAAAGCTGTTGTAGCTGCCATCATACACAACAGAATGAAATGCCAGTCCTGTGATAGCCTCACACTGCTGGTTGCAGAGCAAACCCCTGTGCCCCACTAGGTTTCCATTGGCTGGTTTTTGGAATGTCTTAATCTTAATCAAACCTCATCAGCACCCTGGCAACACCCAAGCCTCCACCGAGAGACAGGGGCTGATAGGCAATGAGATGCACTGACCGGAAATCAAACTTAAGTCTCCCAATTGGAAGACAAGAATTCTATCACAGACCCACCCCCACCCCCCCAATTTCAAAGACAGGTTCCATTTTGAAAAGCTAGAACTTCCTAATTTTGGTTTTTCCCAAAAACAAAAGCCCTCTTTTGACTCATCCAGCAAGATTGTTTAGCCAAAAAAGCCACTCACAGTTGATTGGAGATATTTTGATGAATCAAATGATCAAACTGGTTGAAGTTTCGAGCAAAAGAAGATGGTCCACTGATGGCCTGCCCTCCAGGTCTCCTGCTTTCCCTATTCTTAGTGACCCGACTGCTCTCCTCGAGGGGACAACTGCTCCCTTTCACACATTGCATCCTTACTGTTAATTAGTTGGCTCCGACTCATGGCGACCCCATGTATGTCAGAGTCTAACTGGACTCCATAGAATGTCTAGGGGCTGACTTTTCCAAAGTAGATTACAAGGTCCTTCTTCTGAGGCATCTCTGGATGAAATCAAACCCCCAACCTCTCTGTTAGCAGTTAACCATGCCAATGGGCACCACCCAGTGGTCACCATCCTTGCCATTACCATCAAAGATTTCCTATTTGGTGAGCTGCTTTGGGCAATTTCAGAGATTGTTGACATCTTTGAAACAGTGCAAAAATCCTTTGGCAAATAGCACTTTTCCTGGAATAAAAACCTCGATGTTCTGGGAAGAGGTGAAGCCCAGGCAGTCCACCGTCCCACTCTTCGGGGACAAGGAACCCCTTGCCAACGTCTACATGCATGGACATCACAAGCTTTGTCAGCACTTCAGTGAAGAGTCTTGTCCACAAACGCCATTGGAAATAGGGCCTAGAATCATTGTCTTTTCAAACAGTTTTCTTAAGAGATGGGGCTAGAACATGAGACTTGTTAGCTTTCCAAAAGACACATCTTAAAGTGCTTGACAGCAATTGGAGGTAGAAAAGCTAGAAATTTCAGGGAGAAAGCCTGTTACTGTTGTTAGGTGCCGCTGAGTCGGCTCTGACTCAAATTGACCATAGATTCAACAGAACAAAACACAGCCCTCCCCTGTGCTTCACAATTGTCATGTCTGAGCCCATTGCAGCAGCTACGGTACCAGTCTATCTCGTTGGAGTCTGCTCTTTCTCATTGATCTTCTACTTTGCCCAGCATGATATCCTTTTCCAGGGTCTGGTCCCTCTTGACAACATGTCCAAAGAATGTGAGATGAAGTTGCACCGTTCTCGCTTCCAAAGAGCATTCTGGCTGCACTTCATCCAAGACAGATTTGTTTGTTCTCCTGGCATGGTACTTTCAATATTCTTTGCCAACCACATAATTCAAATATGTCGATTCTTCTACAGTCCTCTTTACTCATTGTCCAACTTCCACCTACATAGAGGCCACTGGGAATACCGTGGCTTGGGTCAGGGGCACCTTAGTCCTCAAACTGATAGCTTTGCCCTTGAACACTTTTAAGAGGTCTTGTACAGCAGATTTGATTTCTTGACTGCTGCTCCCAGGGGTGTTGATTATGGAGCCTAGTAAAATGAAGTCTTTCAGGACTTCAATCTTTTCTCTGTTTACATGATGTTATTTTTTAGTAAAAATGTGAAGATTTTCATTTTCTTTACACTTAAATGCAATCCATACTGAAGACTGTAATCTTTGGTCTTCATCAGTATTTCAAATCCTCGTCCTTTCCTGCAAGCAAGTTTGTGTCATCTGCACATCATAAGCTGTTGATGAATCTTCCTCTAGTACTGATGGCGCGTTCTTCTTCATACAATCCAGCTTCTCAGATTATTTGCTCAGCATACAGACTGAACAAGTATGGAGAAACAATACAACCCTGGCACACACCTTCCCTGATTTTAAACTCTTCAGTGTTCCCTTCTTCTGTTTGGATGACTGCCTCTTGGTCTATGTACGGGTTCCTCATGAGCACAATCAAGTGTTCCAGAATACTCATTCTCTGCAATGTTATCTATCCATAGGTTGTTTATAATCCACACAGTCAAATGTTTTTGTGTAGTCAATAAAGCACAAGCAAACATCTTTCTGGTATTCTATGCGATGAGCCAAGATCCATCTGACATCAGCGAAATATCCCTTGTTCCACATCCTATTCTGAATCTGGCTTGAATTTTTGGCAGTTCACTGTCGATGCATTGCTGCCACTGTTTATAAATTATCTTCAGCAAAATTGTACTTGTATGTGCTATTAATGATATTGTTTGATTTCTGCATTCCATTGGGTCACTGTTCTTTGGAATGACACAAATGTGGATGTCTTTCAATCAGTTGTCCAGGAAGCTGTCTTCTAGATTTCTTGGCATAGATGAGTGAGTGCATACAGTGGATATCCTCCTATCACGACAGTGTTGTAGTTCAAGACAGATCTTGAAATGCTCTTTTTGACAATGAATGTGACTCCATTCCTCTTGTTGCCAACATAGTAAATCATTGTCGGATTCAAAAGGGTCCATATAAATCCATTTAAGCTCAGTGAATAAAGAAGACCGTAGAAGAATTGATGCTTTTGAATTATGGTGTTGGAGGAGAATATTGAAAGTATCATGGGCTGCCAAAAGAACCAATAGATCTGTTTTGGAAGAAGTGCAGCCAGAGTGCTCCTTGGAGGCCAGGATGGCCAAACTTCGTCTCTCATACTTCAGACATATTGTCAGGAGGGACCAGTCACTGGAGAAAGATATTCATGTTTGGTAAGGTAGAGGGTCGGAGAAGAAGAGGAAGACCCCAGCGAGATGGATAGGCAAAGTGGCAGCATCAATGGACTCTAGTGTGGCAACAATTGTGAGGTTGGCCCAGGCAGTGTTTCATTCTGTTGTGCATAGGGTCACTATGAGTTAGTAACTCAATGACACCTAACAACAACAACAATGCCTAGAATATCAATATTTGTGCTTTCCATTTTGTTTTTGACAACTTCCAATTTTCCTAGATCCATACTGCTCTATATTTTAAATACGTTTGCAATCATACTCTATAATTTTATATTCCTTTTTT